TTTCTACACCTTCCACAGCCAGCCCAGGTAAACCAATTATGTCTTCCCTCTATATCTCTCCAAGCTATACTCAGGACTGTTGGCTTGTCTCTGCAATCAAACCTCCTACCTAATCCCTTTTCTTTATACAATTTTCCTTACTTTAGGTTTTCAAATTTACAAGAAGAGATTTCTTTAGTACAAATCAGAATTCACTATTAAAAAAATCACTAGGTATTTCCCAACAAAAATCTGGAGCTACTCAGTATCTGTTATATTACTAATACTCAGTCTAACAGTTACATTATTTTAAATTCCTAATAGATAATAGAATCAGGGCTAGAAGAGTCCAGCCCCCTGTCCAAAGCAGGACCAATCCCAATTAAATCATACTAGCCCAGACTTTGTCAAGCTGAGACTTAAAAACCTCCAGGGATGGAGAGTCCACCACCTCCCTAGGTAACCCATTCCAGTGCTTCACCACCCTCCTGGTGAAATAGTTTTTCCTAATATCCAACCTGGACCTCTCCCACTGCAACTTGAGACCATTGCTCCTTGTTCTGCCATCCATCATTACTGAGAACAGCCTGTCTCCATCCTCTTTGGAACCTCCCTTCAGGAAGCTAAAGGCTGCTATCAAATCCCCCTCCTTTCTCCACTCTTCTCTGCAGACTAAATAACCCCAAATCCCTCAGCCTCTCCTTGTAGGTCATGTGCTCCAGCCCCCTAATTATATTTGTTGCCCTCCACTAGACCCTCTCCAATATGTCCACATCTTTTCTGTAGTGGGGACTGAAGAATTGGATGCAACACTCCAAATGTGGCCTCACCAGTGCTGAATATAGGGGAATAATCACTTCTCTAAATTTGCTGGAAATGCTCTTCCTAAAGCACCCTAATATTCAATTAGCCTTCTTAGCTACAAGGGCACTCTGTTGACTCACATCCAGCTTCACATCCACTGTAATCCCCAGGCCCTTTTTTGATGAACTGCTACTTAGCCGTTCAGTCCCCAGCCTATAACAATGGTTGGGATTCTTTCATCTCAAGTGCAGAACTCTGCCCTTTCCTTGTTGAACATCAGATTTCTTTTGGCCCAGTCCTGCAATTTGTCTAGATTGCTCTGGTTCCTATCCTTGCCCTCCATTGTATCTACCTCTCCCCCTAGCTTACTGTCCTTTGCAAACTTGCTGAGGGTGCAATCCATCCCCTCATCCAGGTCATTAATAAAGATGACGAACAAAACCAGCCCTAGAGATGACCCTTGGGGCATGCTGCTTGGTACGGAACTCCAGCCAGACATTGAGCCATTGATCACTACCAGTTGAGCCTGACAATCTAGCCAACTTGCTATCTGTCTTACAGTCCATTCATCCAATCCATATTTCCTTAACTTTCTGGCAAAAATACTGTGGGAGACCGCATCGAAAGCTTTGCTATTTCGAAATAGCTTATTTTGTCTTTTGGCATTGTCTACACAGCACCAAGGCTATGTTTAGACTGCAGGCTTCCTTCGGAAGAAGTTTCTTCTGAAGATCTCTTCCAAAAAAGAGTGTCCACACAGCAAAAGCACATTGAAAAAGCAATCTACTTTTTCAAAAGATAGCATCCACACTGAAAGGATGCTATCTTGCATTTAAGCTGTGATTACTAGGGATGGAGTGGCCACCAGGGCATCTGTGCTTTTTCCTCTTTCGTCTTCTTTCAGAAGAACTCCCTCTTCCCTGTCCACACACATCTTTTTCTGAAAGAGCTCTTACAAATGTCAGAAAAAAACCTCTGTTCTTTTGATTATTTTTGTTGAAAGAACACAATTGCAGTGTGGACGTAAGTGAAGTTTTTTCAGAAAAATGGCTGTTTTCCCGAAAAACTCTGTAGTGTAGACATAGCCCAAATCTTAAAATAAAGCCCTATTTTGAGCCATCCCTTACTCCTCATATAATGTGGTTTACAGAGATGGCGAAATATTGAACCCGCTCTATATTCTGAAATATATTTTCACAAAACTTGAGGAATGTCCACATTGTAATTGTGTTCTTCCACAATAAAATCGAAAGAACAGAGGGGTTTTTTCCGGCATTGGTAATCCTCATTCTACAAGGAAGAAGCCTCTTAGAAGTGCATGGGGAAGAGGGAGTTCTTTCAGAAGAAAAGGAAAGAGGAAAAAGCACAGGTGCCCTGGTTGCCATTCCACTCATCGTAATCACAGTTTACGTGAGAGAGAGAGAGTATATTCAGTCTGGATGCTCTCTTTTGAAAAAGAAGATCACTTCTTTGATGCACTTTTGCAATGTGGATGTTCTCTTTTGGAATACATTTTTTTCAGAAGATCTCTTTCAAAAAAAGCTTCTTCGGAAAGAAGCCTGCAGTCTAGATGCAGCCTGAGTGAGGAAAAACTTCCTTTTGCTTGTGCTAAACCTGTTGATTATTAATTTCATTTGGTGACCCCCTAGGTCTTTTTTTGTGAGAATAAGTAAATCACTTTTCTTTGTTCACTTTTTTCATACCAGTCATGATTTTATAGACTTGTATCATATCCCCTCTTCGGGTATGTCTACACTAGCCACCCTAGTTCGAACTAGGGTGGCTAATGTAGTCATTCAAACTTGCAAATGAAGCCTGGGATTTAAATATCCCGGGTTTTATTTGCATGTTCCCGGGCGCCGCCATTTTTAAATGCCCCATAGTTCGAACTCCCTGCCCACGGCTACACGCAGCACAGCTAGGTAGTTTGAACTAAAGCCCCTAATTCGGACTACTGTTACTCCTCATTGCAGGAGGAATAACAGTAGTCTGAATTAGGGGCTTTAGTGTGAACTACCTAGGCAGTGCTGCGTGTAGCCGCGAGAAGGGAGTTCGAACTACTGGGCATTTAAAAATGGCAGAGCCCGGAAACATGCAAATAAAGCCCGGGATATTTAAATCCCAGGCTTCATTTGCAAGTTCGAATGACTACATTAGCCGCCCTAGTTCGAACTAGGGTGGCTAGTGTAGACATACCTTTAGACTCCTCTTTTCTAAGCTGAAAAGTCCAAGTCTTTTTAATCTCTCTTCATATGGGACCCATTCCAAAATCCTAATAATTTTTGTTGAAACTTTCTGAACCTTTTCCAATGCCAATATCTTTTTAAAGATGAAGTGACCACATTTGTACACAGTATTCAAGACGTGGGCGTACCATGATTTTATACAGACGCAATTGTTAGAAAAAAAACTGCCCCCCAGTAAAAAGTTTGTCCAGGCTGCTCTTGCTATAGTGGGCTGCAGTACTCCTTGGGAGAAACCGGCCGCACCCTTCCTGCATACCATTGCCTTTAGAAAAAGGACAGGTGTGAAAAGGGGAAAATAGCCTCAGACTCTCCCACCCGTCACGTTGGCCTGAGAACTGCGGGGCTTACCTGGTCGCATGAAAACTGCACAGTTTCGGCCCAACCCTTGTGACACAGACCTGCACTTGGTGACTGTTGGGCCGAATATGGTAATACGCAAGCGCGGGAAAGCGATGTGCAGACTTGGGGATAAATACTCATCGCACAGTTCGCTCGAGGAGGTCTTCACAACACATGTACCACTATGCATGTGTCTTCCCACATACTTCAAAGCGCTGCCGGCCTGATCAACTGACCAGCCACCTCCTCCAACTCTTGGGCATAACCAAGGCCTTCGCAACCAAACTGATATCTTTGAAATGTTCTGTGTGCTGTGTAAGTTGGTATGTATGATTTGATTTTCTTTGTTGTATAAGCTTAGTGTTGTAGTTGTTTGGGAGTACATAGAGTTTGTAGTTATCACTGTTATTTAATTAGTGTAGCTGGATATATGTAGAATAGAGACTATTCCCCTTGCCGTTCCCATCCTTATATTTCTGACACGTTTAACTAGAAATCGTAGAATACATATATTAAATACTGTAAATTCATTATTGACATGGTCTATTAAAAATTTTAGAATAAATACTATAAATTCATCACTGTAATAAATAAATATCTTTTATTTACTAAAATCGTCCACCTGGTTCTGTCCTTCCCCCCTTGGGTATGCATCATCAGACCTGTGGTTCTCGCGACAGCAATAAGATATTTTCTGTCTTATTCTCTATCCCTTTTTAATAACTCCCAACATTCTATTTGCTTTTTTGACTGACGCTGCACACTGAGTGGATGTTTTCAGAGAACTACCCACAATGACTCCAAGATCTTTCTCTTGAGTAGTTGTAGCTAAATTAGTCCCCATCATATTGTATGTATAGTTGGGATTATGTTTTCCAGTGTGCATTATTTTATATTTATCAACATTACATTTAATTTGACATTTTGTTGCCCAATCACTTAGTTTGATGAGATCTTTTTGAAGCTCTTCACAGTCTGCTTTGGTCTTAACTATCTTGAGAAGTTTGGTATCATCACCCTGGCCTGTAATTCATTATTACATTCCATTTTGAAACCACTACTTGTGTTGGGAGGTTGTTACAGAACATGGCCAATTATCACCTCACCACACTGTTTGTATGGCATAAATCCTTCCCATACACTCCATTGAAATATAGAATCAATGCATACTTTAATACAATATTCCTAGGACTGATTCACTCTATGGAGTGATATGGAACTTGCCAACTACATACACATGTAGAAGAGACAACATACAAACATTTTCAATGAAATTATATTTTAAAAGAAGAAAGAGACAGCAACATTTTTCCTGGATACACAAAGTAGTGTCAGACAAAATCAAGCAACCCGACTGATGAGGGAAAATATTACTAATGTTTTTCCTGGCTCTGGCAGGTGGTGCTGGAAACCTGATCACTCCCTGTACTCATATTTAGCTATGTGTACTTACCTTCAGATCATTAACCATAAATAATAATGTGTCATCCAAATTTTGGTTAGGGTCATCCCTCAGGGAGGGAGAAGAATATGCAAAAATGTTTGTGTTATGTTAAAGGATCCTTGAGAAACAAAAATAACAAGAAACCCCTCCCCACACACAAACTAAAATGAAGCCAAATACTAGCTTACCTCCTCCTTGAACAAGGCCCTTTACGTTAGGGCCTTGCATCTGAGATGACTGAAATGCTTGAGTCTGAAGCTGTGGCACAGCTGCCACAATACTCTCTCATTCTTTAATATGCGGCTCCTGGGAAGTGTTGCAAAACAGTCAGCGAGTAAGGTCCTTGTGTCATTTCCTTCACAGTCTCTGGAACTTCTTTAATTTCTTTGTTTTGCAGAACAGAAATAATATAACACACACACACACACACACAAATTAAGTAAATTAATAAGACTTCCTCTTCTCATTTTACGTGGTCCACTTGTGCTTTTGGCTCTACCTCTGGCTGTGAATATACATGCAGAATCATAGAATCATAGAGCTGGAAGAGACCTAAGAAGGTCATCAAGTCCAGCCCCCTGCCCAAGGCAGGAACAATCCCAACGAAATCAACCCAGTCAGGGCTCTGTCAAGCTGAGATTTAAAAACCTTGATGTCTTACCTGCTATCTAAGGGTATGTCTACCCCTCCCCGCTAGTTCGAACTAGCGGGGTAATGTAGGCATACCGCACTTGCAAATGAAGCCCGAGATTTGAATTTCCCGGGCTTCATTTGCATAAGCGGGGCGCCGCCATTTTTAAATCCCCGCTCGTTCGTCCCATTTGTTAAGTTACCATTATCCCTAAGGGTATGTCTACACTACCCCGCTAGTTAGAACTAGGAGGGTAATGTAGGCATACCGCACTTGCAAATGAAGCCCGGGATTTGAATTTCCCGGGCTTCATTTGCATAAGCGGGGCTCCGCCATTTTTAAATCCCCGCTCGTTCGAACCCCGTGCCACGCAGCTACACGCGGCATGAACTAGGTAGTTCGAACTAGGCTTCCTAGTTCAAACTACCGTTACTCCTCATTCCACGAGGAGTAACGTTAGTTCGGACTAGGAAGCCTAGTTCGAACTACCTAGTTCATGCCGCGTGTAGCTGCGTGGCACGGGGTTCGAACGAGCGGGGATTTAAAAATGGCGGAGCCCCGCTTATGCAAATGAAGCCCGGGAAATTCAAATCCCGGGCTTCATTTGCAAGTGCGGTATGCCTACATTACCCTCCTAGTTCGAACTAGGAAGGTAGTGTAGACATACCCTAACAAATTCAGAGAAACTATTAGGAATAGCTCTCCAGACAGTTACCTAGTAACTGTACACATCCGCTTCAGGATGTCCACCAGTATCTAATCACCTGGAGATTGTCTGTCTCAGAGGTGTGTCGCAGAAATAAAATAGGGGGCAGTCCCCTTTCTACACTACATGAACGTTGGAGGGGCAGTCCCTCCAAGGTTTTTATGCCTTCTTACAAAGTCAGCCGGCGCAAGGGCGATGGTGGTGGTGCTAGCTACCTCAAGCCTTTGGTCCCTTAAGGCCTCAGGCGAGGAACAGCTAGGCATCCCTCAGTGGATGATCTGACGCTTGGTGACCTCAAGCCTTTTGCTAGTGGAAAGCCTAGGGCGAGGACCAACCAAGGTGATCCCACGAATCACGGGTTGAGTGCGACGGCGGTAGATTCACCTTCTGCGAATCGTCTGGCCTCGACCTCTCTTCTTGCACTTCGGAGCGACAGGATCAGGCGATGGTGGACTCTGTTTCTACCCTACACTAGTCTAAATAAAACCTAAAACTAAATCATGACGCACCCGCTGAATAGATACGATGATGGCTGAATTGCTCGAACCGACAGACCCGAAGACGATATATCTAACCTATGCTAATCCTAAACTAATCTAAGCCTAACCTATAGGGAATATTGGTGAGACTACAGGCCTTCCGCCCAGTTTAATCAAAATAGAATTAAATCAATACATTAATTCGTCAGTACCTAGGACTAAGACTGGATGCATATACAGGCATACAAGAACAGACCTATGCTAACCTAGACCCGACGCTCGAGAGACCCGACGCAACAGAAACTGCTGCGTGGCAGCGACTTAAATAGTCTGGGTTCATGAATATGCATGAGTTCCAAAGGTTTAACCTGATTGGTCCTTCAATGATGCTCTTTTGTCATATTTTAAATCTATTGGTGGATGCATGTGACTCATACATATTCATAGATGTTCAAATCCTAACAGGTATGCATATTACTATATTCAAACCCTAAAAAACATACCTGTGGGATGTGTAGTACGTGACATAGCTTGAGTTCTTTATGGATGCCAAGAGAACTTTACTATTTCAAAATGGAGTTGGGGAAGCCATTTTGAAATAAAACCATATTACACATATATTAGCTATTTTACATGTATTAACAATGAATATACACAACAGTCCTTTGATATTCACAAGCCTTATACAGGATAGATACATTTCAGACTCATTGGGTGGTTACAGTTACATTTAAGCATGTTGTTACATAACTGTTTGTTACATTCATAACACATGGACCTAGATGTTACATATTAATTCTGCATTACAGAGGCATGGAGAGTCCACCATCTCCCTCGGTAACCCATTCCAGTGCTTCACCACTCTCATAGTGAAATAGTTTTTCCTAATATTCAACCTAGCCCTCTTTCACAGAATCTCTTTTGTTTACTAGATCCCCCAAAGTTCCTTTACATGAAATAAAGCAACTTTCTTCTGCTTACAGCAGTGTTTCCCAATTTTATTTGGCTGAGGAACCCTTTTCAGCTTTTCAAAATTTCAAGGAACCGCTAGGTTTGTCAAGCAAAAAAAGGGGGGGGGCCCAGGGGAAGAGAAAGGGACCCACCAATTCATTAAATTCACATTCCTTCCCCAAGACCCTCGCCCATCTCCCTTCTGTGAGGCCTCATCCGCTCTGTTCCCCTCCTCTCCATCACTTTCTATACCCAGCCCTTATACCTGTCTCAATCTAGTGAGAGTGAGGTGTGGGGTGGGAATGAGGGATTTGGGTGTGGGAAGGGGTGAGAAGTACAAGCTCTGGGAGGGAATTTAGATGCAGGAGAAGGGGCTGTTGACTCAGGGAGGGGGCTCTAGGCTGGGAAGTGTTGGGTTCAAGTGGAAAGTTGGGGTGCTGAGCAAGCCAGGGCTTGTTGATGTGAGGGTGCAGGAGTTTGGGCTGGATAGGTGAGGGACTCAGGGCAAGAAGGTTGTGAGTATGATGGGCTCAGGACACAGATTTGTGATGTGTGGATGGTGGAGGAATGTTGTGGCAGAAGACTGAGGATGTGGGGATGCAGGAGTGTGGGGATGTAAGAGGCTTAAGACAGGGGGCTCCAGTGTATGATAGGCTCAGATTTGGGGTCAGGTGGTGCAGGAGTGTTATGATGCTACAGTGAAATGGGGTTTGATCCCAATTGGGGGCTTGTTGGCCTGGCTTCATTTTTAAATAAAATATTATGTCAAACTCAAAAGGTTTTAGCATTGTCTTTATATGTGAGAGGGGTGAGGAACCTGTTTTGAGTCAAAGGTCACTGACCCACAGAAAAGTCAGTTGGGGCCACACAAGTGAGATGCAAAAAAACAGCAAAAAAAGCTTCTCCAAAAACACCCAAGCTGAGGAACCTGTTTTGAGTCAAAGGTCACTGACCCACAGAAAAGTCAGTTGGGGCCACACAAGTGAGATGCAAAAAAACCCAAACAACCCTCCAAGAACCCCCAAGCCTCACTAATGTGGTCCGAAATGTGCTGGTGGGGCCAGGGGACAGAGTGAAAGTGGGTGCTGGGGCTGGGGAGAAGGTGGCAGGGTGCAGGGGCAAGATGCTGGGACAGGCAAGTGGCAGGGTGCTGGGGTCAGGGACATGGTCTTGCTGGGCACTAGGGTGACTGGCAGGGTGCTGGGACAAGGAACAGGGTGCTGCTGGGTGCTAGCGTGGATGGCAGGGTGCTGGGGCTGGGGCCAGGGCCAGGGCCAGGGCCAGGGTGGTGCTGAGTCCTGGGGTGTGAGGCAAGGTGCTGGGGCCAGGGCGGTGCTAGGGTGGATGGCAGGGCTGCCAAGGAGCGGGATAGAGATGGGGTGCAGGATCTGGGAGGGAGCTGGGGTACAGAAGGGAACAAGGTCTGGGTGGTAGGTAGGGTGCAGAAGCAGGCTGGATGTAGGGTGTCTGGCTACGAGGGAGGGTGTGAGGAGGGGACTTGGGTAGGAGTTGGAGCTGCCTGATCTGGTACCCTCTAGACCTGACTGGTCCCAGATGAGGAATTTTTGGACCAGGGGAGGTCATTTCAGGGGTCCTGCCCCCCCCCTTCCCCACTAGGCTTCTTTGCACCTCTATCCCCTGCAACCAAACTAAGCTGCCCACCCCTGCTGGTTCCCTGCACTTCCCCCAAAACCATCCCTCACAATCCAAGGGAGTGCAGCACCAGTTCCCTGCAGCCCCTCACAGCCCAGCTGAGCTGCCCGTCTGTTCTGTATGCCCTCCCCCATCCACCTCAGCCCAGCTGAGCCCTGCACTGGTTCCCTGCATGCC